TATATTCAATCCCCCCCCCCCCCCCCCCCCCCCCAATATGGTCAAAAAGTGCTGTGTAACTCAGAGAGTTGCACTTCTTCTACATTTAGATTCCACTTCCAGTCAAACTTGGAAAGTCCCTTCATGGGAAATGTGAATGTGTGATGACTCTACCTCCCACAGCAGTTGAATAAATATATAATGCTATGGATTTACACAGTAATCTCAGCCTACTGAATGAGCTTTTCAGCCTTACGGATTCCTTCCATGGGTTCAAATTCGCCATTTCCAGAAAACTGTAGAAATACTTATTATAAACTATTAGTTTTCTAAAACTGTAAACAGAACATCACTATTTAAAAATGGACAAATTAAAATCTGGATCGTGTTGTAGATGATACTCAAGCATCTTGCATTACAGGATTAGAAATACTTAGAGCTCAAGAATTTGACTTTTCCCCTGGAATTGTTCATAAAGAACCTAAGTATGCAGTAAGAAGGTGTGCTTTGTTTAAAAAAAAAAAAAAAAAAGAAGTTTGTGGTGCACTACCACCAACAAAACAAGCCTACAAAAAGGAAACAATAATTAAATGGCAATTAAACTTAGCAGCTATGCAAGATTTAGAATAGGTTTTGTATTTGTTACTCATTTGAGTCCTTTTGGTTTGTTTTCACTTCCTAAATTTCATGCCAATTCAGAGAACTTGAGAAAATACATCACTGAAGTCATTCTTACTCCTGCTTAAAAAGAAATCAAAATAGTAATAATTTTCTTGTAGCAGTGACCAGCTGAGGATATAACTAAAGTCAGGTTTATAGAGAGAACAAATGACTGTTGTAACAGCTGATTTTGGAGAAAAAAAGAATACAAGCTATCAAGCACAGGGAACTTCTGCTTGTTCACTTTTTCCAATTATGCCCACTAATCTAAGTAAAGGATTCTCATGAGAGAAAGAAGACCTTTCCTTAAAAACATTATTCCTTCAAACAAGCAAACAGCTCTGCAAGATATAAATCTCTAACAGGAACTGAATTCAGCTTCGGCACATTACACAAAGGTAATGCAGTGGACAGCCACATACTTTTTTTCTCTACCAAACTATATCCCCTTATTTTGTTTAGCAACAACAGATGAGAATTGGTCAAACATCCGTAGTTAACTGAAGAAAGGACAGGATAGTAGTTGATTACATCTTAGAGGGTAAGCAGGGTGGAAAGGAAAGCCACTGAGAATTTTATATTCAGAAAGCTGACTCAGTTTCATCCCAGCTTCAAGTAATGTCAAGTGCTCCTATCTCGATTTTCCAAAACAAAGTCACTTATACTTGAAAGAATGGATTTTGCACAAAATTCTTTGGGTATATGCTATAATTTATGCACATGAAAATGAAAATAGATTTAAGAAGTCTCATTGTGAAACTATTGGTAAAGGGGGAAAAAGCACAAATTCATGATTTGGCTCTTCAGTCGTCTTTTAAACCAGTGCAAACTGTAATTAAAATGAACTGTGAACTGCTTTCTGGCTACATGAGTAAAAAGCCCACTGATGTTACCACTCCAAACTCTTGGTTGAGACTTCTTTCATTTTCTGTGTCCTAATACAGAGCTGCTTACTACTGTATAGGTGAGATCATATTTACACATATTAGCACGATCAGCTATTTATTATAAGCTCAATAGACACCACAATTTCATCACAAATGTGGTTCTTAGATGAAAGAAGCAGAACAAATCCTCTGAGTACAGCACCTGAAAGGAAACTGGTCAATTTGTCACTCTGTTATGGTTAAGCAATTGTTAAGTACTAAATTGTTCAACAGTCGAATTCAATGGGATTGAAGTGGGTTCTTAAATTTAAGCACCCAATTAACTGCTTTACTGAAAATAGACCTTCCACTAAAATGCCCAGGAGAACATCATTTCTGACAGGGGGTTGAATGAACGGTTCACAAAATAATGCATACTTAGTTAAGTCAGATTTTAGTACTACTTTACTGTCACTTTCTTTTTGGGGGGAGGAGGGATATTGACACTGTCTAATTTTCAGTCTCCCAGGTTATCAACTGGTATTACAGATTAACAAATTGAATTGATGGGCAGCCCCCATCCTTGGTTCCTGCTACACCTAAACACATATTTTGGCTGCTTCTGCTTGCCAGTGCCTAGTGAGCCAGCTGTGGGAGTTGCAGCACCAGTAAACTCACCCTACAAAAGAGAAGTTTTCTGCTTGTTTAGCTTCATGAACTAATTTGCTACAGGGGTCAGATGGGCTCTGCAGCTATTAGTGGAGAAGCAGCAGGAACAAGCAGACTCTGTGGGAGGACAACAGCAGCAGATAGGTTAGCTTTACTGTTCCCCCGTCAACTGGAGCCAAGGGCTGCTGCTGCAGTGAGCAGTTCAGCCCTCCCTTGTGCAACTGTGGGGGTGAAAACTAACCAACTCTTCTGTGCAGCAGTTGCCTGGTGTGACACTCTTGTGGCCTCATGAACACTACAGCCAGAACCAGAGAAGCAGTGGAAATGGGACCCCCCCACACCAAAAAAGCAGGAACCACCTTCTTCAATGACAGCCTGTACTTATGTCATCTTAGAGTAAGCAGGGAATTGCATTCTATCCCAGGGTGCTGATTCAGGGATGGGGCTGACTTAAGAAGCTGCTCACCTTCTATCTTCCATATGCACATCCATACCTAATGCACGGAGACAGATGACAGATCTAGGGAAACTGTTAGACTATGAAGTTCCTACTCATACAGCTTCCTCAAACTTGTGTGGAAGCAGCCGTTAGTAGGGCTGCACAGAACACTGCATTGGTGAGTTCATCGGGGTTGAAAACAAAGGTGCAAGAGGGAATCATAAATGTGAATTATTTCACTGTTTGGTTCACCACATAACCTCATGAACAGTTAACTTGTGCGACAGAAGGGATACTATGGGCAGCTGCAAACTCCTTCAGCCGGAGGACAGATAACCAGGTGACAAAGCAGGGCCCTTGGGCTCTTGTGTCTTAGAAGCTCTGAAACATATTCAAATTAGATGCCTAATGTTTCCCAACAGTCCAAAATCAATTCTCCAAAGGCCCAAATTTTGAATCTTTTCTTGGGGGAAAAAAAAAAAAAAAAAAAGGTAAGATAAGCAAAGACACAGCCCAATGAAATCATGACACTCAGCATCACCAAATAGACATTTTTACATGTGACCCCTGCAACCACAAAGGTCAGCAGAAATTTCCCGGAGAAGGTCCTTGCTTTAAGTCGTATTTACTCCACATGTGAGTGAGAACCAAAAAAAGAATAATATTCGTACTAGAAATATTTACTTGTTTCATTTAGCCTGTCCACACTTTTCCAGCTGGGTAACGCAGAGAGCTTGCGTTCCTTCTGTTTCCTGAATTGCCCTTTTTGCTGCCTCCAAAGAGCTTCAGTCACAGATGATGCAGGGTCTAGTCCTTTACTGGGCACATCTTCACTAGCCAGGGAGAATGCAGACTGGGACCTCTGTGGGAATAAAAATCAAAGAGCATAATTTAAAAGTAGAAATACTTAATTATCAAACTCTTTACCGTAATTACTGTGAGTATTCCGTTACCCATGGAAGTGGGGGATCTGCTAGCATCCAGAAATGGAACTGAATGTGTTCAAAAGAACTGTTTCAGCACTAGATTGCTTATTTAGGTGCATTTCTGATGCTATGCAAGGAGGCAGGAAATTGTTTATACTACTACAGACCAGATGGAAAGAAATAATTAAGGTGAAGTTGTCAGGAATGTGCTTGGTAAGGACTGATATCTAACTGCTTCGACTCAAGCTAGCCAGAAAGAGATCCCATTATGGTGAGATGTGATGATCTGTTGTTGGCTCAACAGGCTATCTGGTGTAACTATTTGCAGAAATTAAAAATTATAAAATAAAATAAAAGCAAACAAACAGCCTGTTCCCCAGAAACAGATGTGCAACTCAACTGATTTTAGTACAGAATTCTTTTGTTTGCTAGGGCATACATTCACACAATATGCTGGGCAGTTTTATGCAACCTTGCTAATGACGTCAACAACGCCTACGGTTACACACCTATTTGTTTCAAGGAGGGTCACATTTCAAGTCAAAATTAGGTAAAATACTGTTGTGATTGTTAATAAGCCCTGACTACTACTGAGGGGAAGGCGCTTTCCTTTGGATCTACATAAATAAATCAGACATTTCAGTTCTGACTTAGGCACTGGGGTCAGTTACAGAAGTCACATTTAAATTTGGCCAGTTTTAAAAAACTGTGAAAGCAGGCAGTGTCCTGCTAATCTCAGGAGAACTAACTCTTACATATCAAATCACATACGTAATTCTAGAAACAAGGCTACAGCAGCTCGAGTCAAGTTTTAACATCTGGCTGACACTATTTTGCTGCAGCACAATTTTTTTTTTTTTTTAATTAATAAACTTTGCTTTTGGTGACAAGATGTGCTTAGGCAGCTTGAATGGCAAGAGATCGCTTTTTCAAACGACAATTAGCTTTTTCCCCATAACTTTTTACCACTCAAAACCTCTGTCTTGGCCTTCATAACAGTGTCAGTAAAAGACTGCCTGTATATGCCAGGCTTTCATCAAGAAGTATGCTTTCAAGTGGCTCAGCTTCTTTAAGCAGGCCAAGTTGGCACTCTCAAATCTTGGTACATTTTTACTGATGTTCAAATTACAAACAATTAACTAAAACTATTAATCTCAAAAGGGCCAGTCTTTGCCTGCATCAGAGCTCTGCTTTGCACTGGTGCAGATGAGGAAAAGGATAACTTGACTTTCAGCTATTTTCAAGTTCCTTCAATTCCCCGGACAGCATAAGCACTGCTGGGAGTCCTGCTGGCTTGAAAGCAACACTTACACCACTTTTCTGGCTGTACCTCCTCCGATCTGAAATGCTCCTGTGTGGGACCTGTGTACCCTGCCAGAAGATTTAATTAACTGCAAATCTTCCTGTATCCTTGGCTCAGCAGTGTGATTTTGTAACAGATTTTGTAAAAAGAAACACAACTAAGCACCAGGGTTTAGTTTAGCTTCTGAACTCTGGAGGAAAAGCCAGAATTATTGCCCTAGAATTAAATATTTTCTCTAACTGCAGTGACTGCATAACTTGGTTAATCCTGTCCATGCAAAGACACAGGTCCTAATGTGATGCATTGGAGTGTTTCCTTTCAAATTCAGTGATGTGAACTACCAACAATAAGCTCACAGTATTGTATAAATTTATAATAGGGAATCTTTCAGGTAAGTCACTTTCACTTTCACAAACCAGCTATATTCAAGTGTATATTTATGCTGTTTCAAACCTCAAACTAGACCTTCAACTGATCAAGATCATCTGAATCCTCCTTAACCCTGTAAAAGTATTAATAATTTAACACAGTACAGACAGGTACATAAATTGTTTTGCTATAGGAATTTGCTCATTAACTTTGATTTCATCCCACCAGGATATATGGACAATATAAAGAACTCGGCCACAAATTTGCAGCCTGAACTGACAAGTTTTAACTGTGCTGTGGCTCACTTCACTTCATTGTAAAGCAAGAACTACCGAACTTCCCCTTCTTACAATAAACTAGGTACAGTTCATATCTGCTCTATCCTCTGATATCTTAGTGTTAAAGTTGTTATGTACTGAAAGCAGCAAGTAGTTGTGGCTCTCACTATTTTCACAGTATCAAAAATATTCCCTTGGGGCACATTCTTTTTCCATGTATATGGCAAACACAGAGAGATAAGAGATTCTGAAGAACCCAGAAGAAGGAATATCCTACAGTTTAAGCACTAGTATCTATTTTCCCTTATTACTTAAAGAAGTGAATCGTAAAGAGAAGAAAAAAAAAATCAGGAAAAACGTAAGTAGTCTGTTTAATGATAACCTGGGCTCAGATAATAAGGTAACATGCTTTTTCTTTTTATGTAAAATCTGTAGGTTTGGCAATTTTTCCAGTGTTTCACTTAAATGGCAGCTTCCCACCTCTCTACTCACTGTTTCATAAACATCACAGTAAAGGCTTCAGCACAGTGATGGCAGTGTCTGCACTTAGCTCCCAACCAACCTGAGACCTGCCAGCAGCTTAGCCTTGACAACGCAGAACTTGGCATGGGCTGCGAAACCCACTGAAGGAGCTCAGCAATCCTGCCCTCAGACCCGTGCTTCTGCAGCAACACTGCTACCAGCACTGCCTGAGCAATTTAAAGCTAGCTCAGGTGTATTTACACTATAGGGCAGACATATCTTTCAGAAGGACTAGAAGATACAGAACAGTTTGAAGGACTTAAAAAAGGAGAAGACGAGCATGAAGGACCTGATGGACAAAAAGCACTGAAAAACAAGCAAGCACAGAAAAGAAAGTAGACACAGTCCCATGTGGTATAGCAGCCTGGGATCTCAGATAAGCTTTTCCAAACAAGCTTATCTAAAATAAGCTGATTCTTTTAAATTGTGTGCTGAAACCTTCATTCAAGTCAGGTCAGAGGGAAACTGCTCTCAACAGTTTCTGCCAACTCTCTGTGGAGAGCAGGAAATTGGTATCATGCAGGAACTACCGCTAATTCCCAGGAAAATCCCTCCAAATGCAGCAAGGGAAAAAGCTTTTGGTGCCTCCAAAGCTTGGCTCGAGGCCAGCCTCATCCTTCTTCTACACTTTATGTGAATTTCTGATAAAACCTGTCTTGGACTGCTCTGCTAGAAGTACCACCTCTTCTCACTGAAGATAGTTCAATGTCACAGAAGGCTTAAGGACAGAAAAGTAATGCCAAGCTAAAATAGCTTGGCTGCACCCCTGCATTCAGATCCTGAAAAAGGATGAAATGATGCTACTTGAAGAGGCTACTGAATTAGCACTCTTTGATACTACTTCTGTAGTTTTCTGTAGTTCTTGTATCTGGAGAGATTTAAATGATCAAGTGACAGCGTTCTAATAAGCTCCAATTAAGAAGAATAAATAAAAGTAGAGGATTAGGTTATTTCTTGTTCTGAAAGTTAGTCTTAGATAGGGATGGAAAGACAGATAGTAGAATTGTGTTTTACTCAGACAAGTATGGGTGGAAAGAAAGTGTAAATATTCATCCCTGATAGCAGTTCAATTCTCTGGTAACACCAATAACAATACAAAAAAGGAGTGTCAATAGCCAAGCCTGGTGTAGGAATAGGACAGAAGCATAACCTGGCATGAGAACTAATCAGTCTACATTGGCATAAACTGGCCATTTTTTTCAGAGGACAAAAGCAAATGTTTATCCACAAGTTTATCTCCAATCAACTACCGGCCTGACTGATGATTCTATCTGAAAAGCAAACGACTCAAGACCTCCTTTTGTTGCTTTTGCAATTCAGAGCAAACTAGAAAGTTAGTTATGTGGTGTGAGGTTACACAGCAAAAGCTTTAATCTTGGTTGGCACATTTGCATCAACTTCAACTCAGCTGGCACCACTAACAGCCCTAAGCTATAGCATGGGCTTCAGCATGGGCTACAAACCTACATACATGCCTGCCTATGCTGCTGACTTCACTGACACACTTACCTGTGGCAGGCAGCAGAAGTACACCTTACTGTGCTGTGTTTGTGCCTCCCTTTGTCACAGAGGTAACAGCCCATATGTAGATCCACAGGGGACGTTTTTCCCTTGTGGACATTTGCATAGGAAGCAAAACACTGAACATAAGGGAACAGGATTGAGAAGCCTACTTGGGGGCTGGTGCTCCATGTAGTTTCCCTGGGCATGGATAGAGGGAAGCCCTGGAGGTAAGGCCAGCTACCCCGATAGGCTCTTGGATCAGTTCGCATTGGAACAAGGGATATTTACCAACCAAATGGAGGGGTTGTGGCTCTGAATCTTTATCAATTGCCTACAAACTTGGACAGCAACAAGATCTCAGGGCAGAAGAACCAATCCAGTCTATTTTCCAAAAGTATCCAAATAATACAGTTGCCTATATATGATTTCCTGAAGGAGGCAGGAATGTAGGAGCTTTGGTCCTGATTTATAAAGACATGAGAGGTCAAGAAGATCCTTCCCTCCCATCTAAAGCTACCGGCACTTTTTCTAACCAGAAGTTCTGGTTTCTCAGCAAAAAACCACCTGTCAGTCAGGTGCTATTTTAGGTGTATTGATTTGTGATGAATTACAAGGCTGCCCTGTATGTTTGCAGTCAGACACTAAGGTACTGCAACTGTTAGTTTCTGCAATAAATTAGTACATCAGCAGATGGCATTGCAACCCAACAGGTCATTTGCTATGTTCACTGCACACACTCGGAGGCACGTGCTGCATACTGGATTGCTGTGCAGTACAGGACAACTTGCAAAATATAGTTACAGCATTTACAGGCATTTCCAAACACTTTGGTTAGATGAGTTCCCCACCAAATCCTGCCTACTGGCATCTGCTGTGAGATGTTTGTTTCAAAAAGAAATTCCAGACACATTATTATTCTCTTCTTTTAATCCCTCTTCAGGGGACTTCTGCTGCATAGTTA